AAACCGCACCCCAAGGAACACACCTGACCAGGCTCTCCCCTGAAGCCATCCTGTTACCTACAGGGACACTCTGTCGCCCACCCGTTATGCTACCTTCTCAATCAGTTACCCCCACAAGGCTGAGTTGCTCACTAAGTCACCAGGCACTGTGCTCCAGCCCAGAAAGACAGCGCTGAGGAAGGAGGAACTAGGGCAGGAAAGCAAGGCCGAGGGGGCGCCACGGGAGGAGACACCACTCCTGGGGGCAGGCCTGAGCCCCAGGGCGGGCCTCCTTCACACTAGTCCTGGGAAAACAGACCCGCCCTGTCCTTGGGGAGCTCAGTCTAGAGCAGGGACTGTGGCTTTGGAGGAAGTGGTGCCGGGGATGAGCGGGCACCTGCCTCGTGAAGAGCTCCGGAAAGTGACCAGAGGGAGCGAGATGTGCAAAGTCCTGGGGCGGGAAGAACCTGGACGCTGTGGAGCTGAAAGCGAGCCTGAGAGCTGGCGCGGGAAGGAGGGCCAGGGCAGGGGCGAGGGCCACGAGTCGGGCCTGTGGTGTGGGCCTGGCAGGTCGTGGTAAGGGTTTGGGTTCTCATGCCTAGCGCCAGCGGAAGCCATTGGAGAGCTTGAAACAGAGGAGCGGTGCGGTCCATCTTACAATCGGAAAGAGCACTCTGGCTGCTGCGGGGGAAGTGGGGCAGAACCACAGGAACCAGGGAGTTACCTGTGGCCAGCTGAGAGGTGGCTTGGCCCTCTGGGTGGCATTGAGGATGGGGAGAAGTGGGTAGACTGGAGATGGAATTTGGAGAGAACTGACCCAGGTGAGGAACTAAATGCAAAGGGGAGAGGAAGGCGGGAGGCGGTGGTGATGTCTCGTTTCTGACTTGAGCAACCAGGTGGGTGAGGGGCCACGCCCTGAGTTGGGGAGAAGAGGAGAATGTAAATGGAACAGGAGAGTTCACCTCTGAGCGTCGGGGACGTGCTTGATGTCTGCGAGATGTCCACAATGAGGAGTGCTGCTCCATGAGTCTGGAGTCTAGAAGACAGGCCTCTAACGGGGCCCTAAGTTCGGAGTCGTGACCATGGAGATGGGCATTGACGTGGATGAGAAGGAGGGAGAGGCCCAGACCCGAGTTCTGATGAACTGTGCTATTTAGAGGCAGGGATGGGAGGAGGACCCAGCAGAGACTGGGAAGGGACAGCCAGAGTGGGAGAGCGCGGGAGTGGATGCTTCAGGAGCAGACTGTCATCTCCGTGAAAGGCTTCACAGAGCGGCCTCACACAGCAGGACCGAGAGATGCAGGGGCAGGGTGCGGGGGAAGCCCAAAGCTTCGGATCAGCAAAGAGAAGGAAGCCCAAGCCGCCGTCACCGGCAGTTCAAGTGTGTGCCCTCAGCTGAGCCCAAAGCCCTGCCTGTTTGGTGTCCTCGGGCACCTGTTGGCAGAACCATTCAGCTGCCCCAGGAGACCACCACCGGGACCAGGACTCTCCCCTCCTGCCACAGCCCCGCCAGCACAGAGAGGGGGTGCTCACCACCCCAATATGCCCACCCTCTTCCTGGGGAAGCTGATGGCTATTTGACAGCCACAGACAGACGGACAGCCCGAGTCGGGAAATGAAGACAGATTGTCATTGCCAACTTCGCTAATGTGCCTCTTGCTACTCTGTCATTAATGAAGATGCCAGTGGGCGGACCAGGGTGGAGGGGAGGTCCTGGGCTCTGGCCTCTCGTGGCCAAGAGCCCGGGGGTGCAGACTCCCCAGCTTGCCCAGGCATTGCCTCTATCTCTTCTGGAACTTTCCTAACTCCGCTCCCCTCTGGCTCCTTCCACCCCTCGCATAGCCTCCTCCTCTGCGCCCACCTTTCCAAATGTCCTTAGGAAGAGAGCTGCACCTCCCCGCGCGATTCTGAGTCACGGGTATCTTTCCAAAAGTAATGGTGCGTGCGAAACACTGAACCTCTTTCAAGGGCAACTTCACGAATGGGAGAAAAAGTTTCCTAAATAAAACCGTCTGTTTCCCTGAAGATGCTCAGATACAGTAACATTGGCCTCCAGCTGTGCTGTGGCTTCTCCAGATCCCTGGGGACCAGACCCAGCCTCCAGGATCTCCCCCACTTCCCCCCGCACCCCTGGGCTCCACGTGAGCCGGAGGGTCCCCTCTTCTCCCGGTGTCCACACCACAGGCTGCAGCTGGAGTATATGGAGCTTGTTTGAGGCGCCTCAGTTCTGCCCCATTTTTTATTCATAATGCTGCAAAGCCCTTGGGGCGGAAAGCACTTGAGAGAAAAAGCAGGCGTGGAACTCAGAACAAACAGAACCCAGCAGGGAGTCCGAGCATCTCGGCACACTTCCCGCCCTTCCAGCCACCCATCCAGGGAGGAACCCACCCACCCACCCATGTCATCAGACCAGAGCTCACAGCAGGAGTGCGCTTGGCACTGGAAGGAACGCCCACCCCAGGCCCCCTCCCAGCAGAGCCGTGAACCAGCTTGGGGGCTGGGGTGGGTAGAGTGAGTCTCTCTCTCCTCCATCCACTGCAGCCCCCTCATCAGTGGGTCTCCCCATCCTACAGATGTGGTCCCCGATGGGCCTTGGCCTTGCTCCAGGGCACCTGTAACATCTGTCCCTAGGCCTTTGGACCCAGGGACCATGGGCACAGACCCCAAGTCAGACCAGGGGAGTGAGGGGAGGTGACCCACGAGGAGGGGACAGGACAGCTGGCCTGGAGAGGCAAGTGTTGACCAGGACAGGGAGAGGCAGGGAGTGGCTATTTCAGGGTGGAGAGGACAGGGCGGAGGGATGGCCGTGTAAAGTAACCTGGAGAGTTGGGGGAGCAGAGCCTCAGAGAGGCAGGAGGGTGTGACCCAAACTGTGGGCTCTCTGGCCACGCCTCTGGCTGCAGGGCCTCACATCCCAGCTCTGCCATGTTGCAGCTGTGTGTTCTCGGGCCAGTTGCCTAACCTCCCTGTACTTCAGTGTCCCCATGTGGAAAATGGGGGGTAATGATAGTACCCATCTCATTAAGCTCCCGTGAAGATTGTGTGGCTTCATATGTATAAGCACTTAGGACTGAATGGCACATAGTAAACACTCAGTAAATGTTAGGGCACCTGAAACAGAAGGGCCAGCACAAAGGCAAGGGCTAAATCCCAAAGAAACCGGCATGCCACTCTATTCTGTTAAATACGTCGTACTACTCATAAATGTCAGAGGTGGAGTTTGCCCCAGAGCTGCCTGACCCCCACCCCCATTCACAACCACTCCTTCGTCACCAGTGTTTACTGAGCACTTACTATGCAGCAGGCAGTGGGCTAGACATGAACGCTATAAAGATGGGTCAACCCAGCCCCCAGCCCTGTGCTAAGAGCCCACTATCTAGTGAGAACACAGTGTTCACATGTAATCCCCACAATCAACTGAGAAGTTGTGGTCGTGGCTCAGGCTGTGAAGGGGGGGTCATGGTGCTGTGCGGCAGATACCAGGGCAGGGCGGTCCCGCCCGTGTCCTTGCCTCCACATCTGACCCATCTCCACCCCCAACTCCAAGCCCCAGGCCAACACGGAGCGTTGCCGTGGAGGTTGCTTTACTCAATGGAGCCAAACTGGCTTCCACCCGGCTCTCTTCCAGGCCCTGCCCCGGGGTGACTTGGCATGCCCTGCCCAGGGCCGCAGAGCTCCCGGCTCCTGTGGCTTTCCTGAAAGTGCAGCGGATGCTTCTCGCTGATGATGAGAGGTTCGGACAAGCCACTGAATGATTAAGAGACTGGAAGTGTTCTCTGAGATGGGGAAGCATCCTGCTGGCTCTGCTCAGCCTCGATTCCCAAGACGGACCGGGAGGCACTGCGGCCACTCACTGCCTATTTAGGAGAAAGGAACCTGGTCCTGGGGAGGATCAAACTCGTGGAGGGGTGGGGCCCGGAGGAAGGAGAGCCTCTGGATTTCAAAATCAAGTTGCTTGATTCTTTGAGGTGGGCCACAGGCACCAGCCAGGTGTCCTTGGCCATCAATGGTGATAGGCTTTCCACTTGGATTCTTTGGTTTGTGATGTTGCAGGAACCTTAAGGATAGAACATCGAGTACAAGTCCCTCATATCACAGACGGGAGCCTGGAGCTGGGAAATGATGTGCCCGGGTCTCGAAGCTCGCTAGCGGCCGAGGGACGAAAGCCCCTCCATCGCAGGGATTTGTTCTTTGCGTGGGGCCATGTGAGCGCATGGAGAGAGAAGCACTTTCATGAGCGCTTGCAGACGGGCTGCTGGGGAGCCAGCGGGAGCGATGCTGCGCCTTTAAGCATCGGACTGCCCAGATGCCTGGGCACTGCAGCCAGGGAAAGCACTGCGACTGTGGGCAGCGACGTCAGGCGGACAGGTTGCACTTTAAGCACGGACTCTCTAGGAGCCAACATCCCGGCTCTTCCTCCCTGCCAGCAGGCCCGCCCCTTCCAAGCCCTAGCCAAGACGTTTAGCCAGCCGCTGCTGGGCTCAGATCTGCCCTGTCACCCCTAGATTAGGAGTCAGGAGAGTCACATGAGTTTCTGGACAGCAGTGACCTCTCCGGCAGCGGAGAGCCCATTACCAGGCAGGGGCCCTAAGGTGGCTCCCCTGACAGTGGGTAGAAATGAAAGCAATAACTTGCTGGCTCTTCTGCAGCCCCTGGTCGCTCCTGGGTTTACTAAAGCCAAAGTGGCAAGCATCCCTAATGCGGATCAAGGCTAGGAAGGCACACAGATCTGGGGCTGGAACCTCCTGGGAGAGAGCACCGGGCGGGGAGAGGGCCTGGCAAGGCCACCTGTGGGACCAGGCTTTCCGAGATGCCGACTCTGTTTCCTTATTCCCCATCTCTCTATTCACTCAAAATCTACCTGTTATTTTCCTTATCAGTAACCCAGTCCTCTGCCTCCTGCGTGTGCAGGGGGCAACATCCCCTTGATCCACTGAGCCAAGAGCAGCCAACTCCCCACCAGGCCGGGTGAGGCCGCGACAAACAGCCCCACGTCTAACTGCTCATCTGCTTCTTTGCAGGAAAGCGTGGATTTGGGGGAGATCATGTTCTCCCTCTGCTACCTGCCCACAGCAGGCAGGCTCACCCTCACAGTGATCAAGTGTCGGAACCTCAAGGCCATGGACATCACCGGCTACTCAGGTACCTCTCCCGCCCAAGGGGCCTGCCTGCGGCCACCCGGCAGCCCGAGCGTTAGGATTTGGAGAGAGAAGGAGAACTGTCAGTTTTCGCAGAAAAGCAGCCGCTCTGGAGGGACATGCCGTGGGTTCGCATCCCCGTTCTGCCACTTCCTTGCACTGCCATGTTTTGGTTTCCTAATCTGAAAAAATAACTTCCCAGGTTGCTTTCAGGATAAACGAGTTAATTCACATAAATGCTTAGAGCTGTGCCAGGCACATAATGAGCACTCAGCAGATACTAGCTATTACCAACGTTCTTTCTCCAGAGGAGGGCGAGAATAGGAAGCGAACACATAGGAGTGAGTACATGTTTGAGGTCCACGCCGCCTGCAGCCGTTCTGCAGTCCCAGTCAAGGGAGCACTGCCACCCAAAAGCCGAGTGCATCTGTGTTTGAGTTTTCCCTGCAGGGCTCCCGGCCTCAGCCTCAGCAGCAGGAAAGCTGCTGGGAACCGCAGGAAAAAATTAGTCTTCGTCTAGCCACGGAGGAGATGCCTGCTTGGGGGCAGCTGTAGCGATGCAGCTGGACATGGAGTCGGAGGTTTGCCCCTTTGCCACGATTCTGCAAAGCTGTCAGAGGAGAAGGTGTTTGAGTTTTGATATCCCCGAGGAGTAGCTTGGGTCCCAGGAGCCTCCATCCACCCATCCACTAGGCACAAGTTAACCCTAGGAGTGAAACGGGGCGAAGCACCCCTAAGAGCCGGCGCACGGAGCAGGCTGGGCCGCACACGGAGGGCACGTGCAGGAAGCGGCCTGGCTGGCTTCCCGGGAGCCCACCTCAGAGGCTCTGATGACTCGGATTACAGCATCAAGCCTCTCCCACGGTGCCTCCGCCAGGTCCCTCCCTGCTGTCTCAAAGGGTAAGAGATCTTTCTTTTTCACTGTTGTACGGTATCCCATGGTGTATATGTACCACAGTTTTTTTTATCCATTCATCTACTGATGGGCACTTGGGCTGTTTCCAGATCTTAGCTATTGTACACAAAACTCTTGGATATAGAGGGGCAAGTTTAAGATCGACCCTGTGCATGTGGGAATTATGCTCTGCTGCTACCGCCACTCGTCAGGAGGTGGGCAAGAGCTTAAAGAACCTTTTCAGACATAGTCAGCTTTCTCCAAAAATATAGCCGCCATAGATTTCATTTTAATATCAAAATAAGTGCATGCCAGGGACAGAAATTCACAGAGGACTCTCAAGGCTGCTGAGGCAAATGGGATTTTGCTTCCCAAGTCCCCACACTATCTTCTCGGGTGTAATTAAATTGATGTGCTAGGGAGAGAGCTGGTGGCCGAGCCACTGAGGTCACTGCCGAGGCTGCTCCCCTCAGAGGGTTGGGGGCAGAGGCCACGGGCTGAGTCTAACCTCCCTCTCACGGTTGCCTCTCTTTCCCACCTGGGCTTAGAATGTGCTGCTGTCTC